TTATTTTATTTAATTAATTAAATAAAATATGATACTTGATTAATTAATTATAAATAGTTGTTTGATATTATTTTAATTTTACTGAAGGAAAAATTGTTTCAGCATAATACTTTAGTCTTCCATGGTGAATCAATGGGGACGATTTTTGTTCCCTGATTCATATGGTAATTAAATACAATATCATGTTTTTATTTTCATGTGCCTTTATTTTTTTTAGTCTAAATGTCACGCCCCAGAACCCAAATTCAGGAACGTGGCAGAGGTCGTGCACTTATGAGAGGATCCCACAAATGCACAAAACTCGGAACTTATTAAGTTCTTAATTTCCGAATTGGATAATTTAAATCTAAAACTCAGGTAAAATCTAACTTTCCATTACAAAAAATTTTACTAGTCAAGATGTACAACAGTTTATAAACAGTTATGGCTATAACCAAGGAAACTCTGTACACAAAAATGGTTATTTGGGTCAACCATGTGAAACTAGCGGCTTAACTCCAAAAGATCTAAATCCAAAATAATGCCTAGCCATCTAGCTCGTCACTCCCCCGACTACCCATATGTCGGGTATTACTACCTGAAATGGTGGATAAGGAAAAACTAGGTGAGATAAAATATCTCAATAAGTAAAGTATGGATAACCCTTGATAAAAAAATTTAAGCATGCCAAATAAACCATGTAAGCATAATAGAACTTTCAATGATAAACCATTCATGCATAATAAAATTCATCAGTAGTCTCATCTATAAGTCATGGCCAGTGTTTGACAAACTCCCACTGGCAGGCGTCAGTAATGGTACCAGTGTTTAACAACTCCCACTGGCAGGCATTAGTAATAACCAATGTTTAACCCCATTGGCAGGGTTACAGAAGTACCAGTGTTTAACAAACTTCCATTGACAGGCGTCAGTAATGGTACCAATGTTTAATAACTCCCAGTAGCAGGCGTCAGTAATAACCAATGTTTAACCCCATTGGCAGGATGAACCAGTTCTACAGAAATACATGTCGACATGTGCTAGTGTTTACAAACTCCCACTAGCGGGCGTCAGTAATCATGACTATATCAAAGACAAAACCATGCAGAATTTACAAAAAATCCATGATTCACCATTAATCTCAATTTCAAGAATAAACCGGAAAATTTCATGTGGGCATGCTCAACTCCAAAAAAACAATGAAATTCTCATTTTCATTCCAATCATGCTCAATTCCAGAAAATAATAATTTTCATAAAAATCATCACAATTTTCATTTCAGTTTAATCACACTCAGATGTTGATAAAATCAATTTAAACCTTGCCACCATCTTAAAAACAATTTAAAACATGCTTTGAAATCGAAAGGTATTACCATAATTTACTTACCTCAAATCGCACCAAACAAAACACTAATCCCAAGTGCTAGAGTGCAGAATAATCAATTACCTAATCAAAATATTTCCAAAATTAATACCCATATAAAACGACATATTTAATCCTTTCCCAATTTAGCCGGCAATTAGCCCCCATAATACCCTATTCATTTATTTATTCATTTTTCTATCCGAAATCAAGCACAAAATCAATTGTGCATTTATATATATTTGCATGATACACATAAAATTTTCCCATTTACTCACGGGCAGCACATGGAGAGCATGGCTTGGCAAACCACAACTCACACACACGGGATTTTTCTCTCCAAAACATCACAGCAGCCTAATTAAACTAATTCCTACATGAATTAAGCAAAATCATGGTCCCATTCACTGCCGAATCCCCTCCTATTCCCAGCAGAAAATTCGGACACACAGGGCAGTGATTACTTGGATAATTTTAGCAATTAAATGGGTGAAATTGGACTTAAATGAAGCTGTCCATCATACCAGAAAATTCCGGCAGCAGCACCGGGTCCGGTTGGGAAGGAAGTCGACGGGGAAAAGAAATGGAGGAACTCACGGCAACTACCAAATTCAAGAACCCACAACAAAATTAGAGTAACCCAAGCCAAATTAAGAGAGAAAAGATGAATTCCATGGTTGTTGCTTACCCAAAATGACCGAAAATTTCACCCACCCAGCAACAGGGAGCTCGCGGCAGAGGGAAGAGAGCAGACCTGGAAAATTCTGGGTTTAATAGGTGTTCTAGAACAAGAAAAGAAGGAGAAATCCCCAAGTTTTACCGGTGTTCCCGGCCGGAAATGGGTGGCGGTAGCTGGGGAGCTCGTCGGGTTGCAGAGGGTCGGGAGGAAGAGGAAGGGCAGGACACGCGTGGGAAGAAGAAAGAAAGAAAAGAAAAAGAAAAAAAAGGAAAGAAAAG